ACCGACAGCGTCACTTTTGCATGGCTTGCGCACAAGGTTTTCTCGGGTAACTACGGGGACCTTGAGTATCCACGGCCCGCACACAGAAACACTACACTCTGAACATGTGCTTTCTATACAAACTCCCATTGTGCATGGCACCATCATGGATGCCTTCCTCAGCTGTTAAACAAGTTTCGCACTAAACCCTAAACCCTAAACCCTTCTGGGAGACCCAGAAGGGCGTCATGCGATTTGATGAAGGTTGCGAAACGATTTCATTGAGATGTAGGGTAACTAGAATCTAACTATTTAGGGTTTAGGGTAACTAGAATCTAACTATTTAGGGTTTAGGGTTTTGGGCAACTAGAATAAAGTTTTTAGCTGTTCGATAGACATAGAGACTATAAGGGGAGACCACTTATGATTCTAGGACTTTGAGGCCTTCGTGCTTGGGGCTTTCTGCCTTTCTGGGGGTTCGGGTCTTTTAAGCTTACAAGTAAGGTTTGAAAGATTTGGGCCTGTGGGGTTTATTAGGGCTTAGGCGCATTCGGGATATGGTCGACTGGGTGCACCTGGGAGGCGATGGATTTGAAGCACAACGCATCCAGAATCCAAGTCCCCTGATGCAAAGGGCATCCAAGTCCCCTAATGCAAAGGATTTCTCGGTGATTTTGAAAGCCCACAAATCCGAGAACAAATGCTAATTAATGCTAACTACTACTTGGGAACTATATCAGATAATGCATGTGGTCGAAAATGGGTTTGAGGTTGAACAAGGATCGATGGCCCTGATGATTTCCGGAGGGTTCTCGGGGCATCGGGTGAGCTCGGGTGTGATTCGCGCAATTTCGGTTGGAAACATTAGCCCCTACTATACGGGCATGAATAATCCGCCGAGGCCACAAGGCTTCTTGGGGGTTCCTCGTTTCGTGACACCTGACACTGCTTTTGGCCCACCACTCCCGCCACCCTCCCACACATCTCCCTTGCTCTTGCCCCCCAACAGTTTTTTGCCTGCGCCCCGCCCCCCTCTCCACCTCCCTCCCCCCCCCCCCACCCCTCCGAGTCAAAACGGCCCCCGGCAAGCAGCGTAGCGGAGCTACCGGTTGTGTCACAGTGCTGCTCTCCGACCAGCCGAGGTGGGCGGCGTAGCGTCAAAATTAGAAGAAGGTTTCGGAGTACAACATACCACAAGGAACCCCCAGGAATAACCCCAAACCCTGAAGCCTATTAGCATTATTGTTATGATTGCTATCGTAATGATATTGGATATCTTATATTATATAAACTAGTATCATTGTTACTGTTATGCTTACTAGTATTAATATTAGTATTATTGTTATTCGTACTATGATTACTATGACTATTGTTATCCCTATTCAGGTTTCTATGGTACAAACCCTGCGGGGGACGAAATTTCGGGCCTGTATAAGGGCTTCTGGACAGTCGGCTCTTTGGAGGGATTTGCAGAAGTAAGCCATGTGGGAACAGGTTTAAACTCGGGTATGAGATTTGGGACTTCGAGGTTTAAGTCTTAGAGCCCCCCCCGCGTGAAACATATCCTACCATACGTTTCGCTGCTGGGACACATACCAATTTTCGATAACCTCAAACCGAAGTCATAAGTTGCTGTTCTTCTAATCTCCAAAGTCTGCATTCCTGAAACCTTCTAATGCCACGATCCTACGGTGCCACCTCCTCCGCAATCTTCTTCGGGGCCTGCCAAGGCTTTGACAAATGTCCAACTTTCATCCTCCATAACGACAGCATGATATCTAGAGATTAAGCCGCATATATATATATATATATGTAATAATATTTGTTGATTTATCCATCTATCGACCTATCTATCTATCTATCTATCTATCTATCTGTTCATCTGTTTATTTACCAAACTACATATCTGTTATACTTCATGTGTGCTATACAGTTTTGGAGCCTAGGCTTCTGGGCTTTCCCGTCGATCGGGCCTCCTTTCCTGACTTTTCAAGGGGAGGAAGTTTCTGGCTTTGTTTGGGTTTGGCTCTTAGAGTTTAGGCTTCAGTTTCGTGTTGTTGAGGGTGTTTAGTGTAGAGATGAAGTACTTCAGAAGGTATGACAAGACCTTCCCCCCAAATACAAATCATCCGGCATAACCAGTGAAGCCAACCCCCCCCAACCTCCTCTTACAGTACATACCAAGAGAGTCCTCCGCATACAGCGAATACAACTCAAACCCCCACCACCACCCTAAACCAGCACCACCTCTGATGTTTGACGCGCCTCCTCTAGAGCTGTGGCAGAACGTTGGACAGCGCTCCGGCGGCGCCTGGGCTTACGGCGTGGACAGGCTCCCAGATTGAGACTACAGGAAGTTAGGAGATCTTCTTTGCGAATCGCCATGTGGCTGTGTAGTTTGGCAACCCGACCAAAGCAGCCAGGCCCTTCTGTTTTGTGAAAAGTTGGTTTCGGGCTTAGGGCCTATAGGGGCGTTTAGGTTCTGAAATCCTTCTTCATCTTTCTTCGAGCATCCTAAGCTAGACTTAGCATCAGAAGAAGAGTCAACCTGCAGTGCTTCGGGCCTGGGCTTCTATAGGCTGAAGAAACAGGCAAGCTAACTTATCCGTATGAAACGAACAAACCCTGGACCGAAGAATCAAAAACAGGAGCTCCTTCCCAAAAAGGCTTAGGGACGGCTTAGGCTGTAGGGTTTAGGGGTTAGGGTTTGGGGTTTCCCTGGCGGCTGTCAGAATCGAAATCTGCACTACTGGGTCCATGGCTTGCCCGGCTGCCGCGCCAGGAGCGCTGCCACCGTTGCAGCTGCACCGCCTGGTCGTTGACACATATGGGGTTATGATTCGTAGCCGCGGGATCAGCGTCTATGGGTAGCACGGTAGCAGGCTTTGATTCTTGACCGTTGACTTATAGACAAATCCCGCAAATGAGGGCACGATCAGGCTTGGGGGCAGGGTTCGAGGCTTTCGCGCCGGGAAGTTGGGTCTTGCAGGGCGCACTGACCCAATCTTGAGAGGCTTCTGCATACTGACGGTTGAGTCGGAACTGTAATGTAAGTTACCCATGGGCTCCTATGCAGTTCCTTTTGGATGGTATGCTATAAATCCTTACCACAAAACCATAACAGGCCCAAAAAGGAACTACATTCGAGCCCCTGGGTCGACAGTCAGTCATTGGGATATTCCGACCTGGCCATGGTAGCACTGGTAGGTTTCTCGACGAACCGCATGAGAATCTGTCAGCTACGGTTTGGCGTACTGCGTACGGCCATGACTTGTTATGTGTATTGAGTCTCGAGGGCAATAGCGCTACAGTGTTTAGGGTTTAGGGTTTAGGCATGCGCGCGGAGTCGAGGCATGACAAAACACTGTCGCCTGCTCTATAGACGCTATGTGAGCTGATATTAGTAGCCATCGGAAGACCGCGACCGAAACCAAGCTCGTCTAGCCACGCAATCCTATAAGGCTTAGAGTTTAGAGTCTGGGCTGGGGGCCCCTGAAGGTGGGAGAGCGTGGGAAGGCCCCTAGGATTTCACGGCCATGGGTGTTTTGGCTGAAAGGTGCCGGTCCTGCAGCCAACTGGCTTCAAAGCTTTAGTTGTCCAGCATGGTCATCTCCAGATTAGGGACCTAAGTGGCTGCCTTATGCTGAACTATGAGAAGAAATCCCGCCACCCTTCTCTCGGTCAGGTTGCCTGCTACGCGATGTGCTGAGGTACCTGCCCGAAGTCTCCCGAGGGATGAGGATGTCGGGGGCTTAAGGCAACTTAGGCTTCGTATAGGGTTCAGTAGGGTGCCGCTAGTGCTGAAGCCCCAAGGAGTAGCATGCACAAGTAGGTATGAGCCTGAATTCCGTAAAAAAATCGTATTACAAGGCCAAGACGAGGATCAAGATTGAGCGAAGCGCTGCAGAAGTTTGACGATCTTACAGTCTGTAACGTAGTAGGACAAAGTATGCCAGCCGGCGTTTATACACTTTCAATACGAAAAGCAGCCGCATAGTCCTTGAGTAACTCGCATTTTTTCGTCGTTCGTCAAGCGATGGCCTCGGCACCAGCACTACTGCGCCGACTATTGTTGCTTATGGTCGCCATGAGCAAGTTCGTAATGTAGGTGCCTTAATAATCAGAAGAAGTTTTGGGGCCCATTATGCTATATTTACAATAAGAACCCACCCCCAAACAAAAATAGTATAAGTTGTTTGTCGGCCCCTATATTACTGACTTTTCGTACTTGCCGCTCGCAGTCATGAGCCCTGGAACTTTAAAACTTTCAACCCTCTCCAACCCATCAGGTCTAACTGACCCGTAGCATCCCTAGCATCAGCATTGGTGGACTGCAGATCGTTACATCGAAAACAAACGCCCAAAGCTCTTAAGCCACCCCTACTTGGAGGATCTTGGGACTTAGTAAGAAGTACCCTAACTGGGGCTGTAAGTAGTTATTACCAGACTATACGAAAAGTCACTTTACTGATATAAACCATATTTACTACGTCCCTGGATCCGCTAGTCTAAATACGCTCCACAAGGTCGCCAACCGGAACGGAACAACAAACAAAAATCTGAAAACGTTGCACTCTGCCCATTGGCCTTGAGATTGCGACGGTGCAAGGCGGGTCGAATCTGGGCGCTAAGGGATCTATAAGATGTCTCGACAAGTTTGGGCTAAAGTTACCATAATAGGGGTTCTATAGAAATATATGATACATGGTTTGTAGAAGGACCGAATTGGAGCAGGAGGCGTGCTAGGTGCAACAGAGCAGATGCACCGAAAAGGATGGGCCACGAGGTCAACTTTCAACTCAGCATCTGGAGATCGATACCAGCTGCATGCATCGCATCACCACCTGCGAAGCTGCTAGCAATTTAACAGACCAGTATGGGTGCAGGGGTCTCATGACAAATAAGCCAGATTCGTAATCACTGCGAGCTCCCTCACTACCATCCTTCCGTTCTAGACTACATCAGACTTCCTTACGTGCATTAGGGTTAGGGTTTCGGGCCTCATCACCGAATGTCACCCTGAAGCCTGAACACTTACATCCTGAAAGATGACCCTCAAATCAAAATCATGTAGGGGCCTTAATACTTGGAATAGGGTTTTGGGCTCCTACATAGTAGATCTATAATAAGGAACCCTAGCGGTAATGTTGGTAACTATTTCGGCTTCTATCTTAAACAAACCTCCGAACGTTCACCCAAGATTGCCAGGAGCCCGGCGGGGGCCCAAGCTTCGTTCGGCCACTGGCGGCTTCACCGCCGTGGGAACGAAAGCCGTGGGTGAGGCCATGGTGCCAGAGGTGCAGGAATCGATATTGTAGACTACCGGAAATGAAGCATTCAGCATAAAGCTCCTCTCAAGAAGGAAGCTTAAGCTGCTGTGGCTGGTGCAGCTAGTGGAGGTATTCAGAATCTAGCACTTTGCAGGTTCCCTCAGCATAAGATGTGGTCCTGACTACTTGCAGCTAAGCCGGGGAGCAACCGAGCACTGCTAACCTTGCCACATTCAAGGCTCTGGCATACGAGACTATGGAGTTTCAATGGCATCGAAGCACCGAAACCCCCCCTAAGTCGAAGCCCTGCGCCGTAGGCCCCAAAGTCCTGGTCCTAAACTGGAGCCTCAACCCGTCCCACTTAACGTTGAAGGGCTAAGCTGGCGGGAAAAAGACTACCAGTCTTATCTGCCTTAGTCATTAGACTGGGCTTTGGGATGTTGAACTGTTGGCCGTATTGTAGTATGACTGTATAAGGGCTTTAGAGCTTACAGGGGGCATACGGCCAACGATTTTGTTCCACACAGTTCCAACCCCTCGTACTATTTCAGCCCGCTTGAGGCCCGAGGAGTGGAGTCAGCAGGTCCCAAAGAAATAACACAGGACCCTTAATCGGTAGAATAAGGTTCTGGGGTATAATTTTCCTATGCCCACAAGCAGGCATAGTATTGGTATTATCGGTTTATGTTTATATTACTCGTAAGATTCTTACTGTTAGTTTTATGACTCTGCGTCTCATTGTTATTTCTTCGCATTTCTATGGCATCTTGCATCTTCTCAGGTCGGAGGTCAGGGCTTGCGGCGTCGCAAGTGCTAGGCTTTGTAGGGTTTAGGGTTACGTAGGGTTTAGGATATAGGGTTTAGTGCCGCGGACGTTGAGGGTAAAGGATTCAGGCTTTAGGGTTTAGAGGAACTGAGCAGATAGTCTAATCAAGATGCCATTGACCGATAGGGGGGAAGCAATACTCGCAATGCGCAGAAATGGGATACATCAACGAAACAAACGACAAGGATGATGTCTTGAAGCCGTAAAAACTTCAGGCCAGAAAGATGCGGGAAGCCTTCGCAAAAGGAGAACATGCAGCTGTAACATCAGCTGCCCGTTTCTGGAGCTATTGATTTGCACAATGTGCCATCAGGATGACAATTGCTACTTCACTATAACAACTTTGCTGAACCCGCTTTCTGTGCTCGTGCAGACTCAGCCCTGGCCATTTTGAACCTCATGTTGTTCGGAGAGCGACGTCCCAAACCGCCAGCAACGATTTCGTCTTTGAAGACACTAGATGAAGGTGCACGTGGTCGTGATGGTGTTGAAGATGACGACGATGACTCGGGCCATGATGGTGGCAGGTCGATGGTAATCTTGCCGATGTCGATGGTACGGTTGAGGATATAAATCCTGCATTACCCAAAATAAGGAATATACCATAATTCCCATAGTTTAGGGCCTTAAAGTAATGCAGGATTTAAATCATCAACAGTAGTGATGACAAGAGTCCAGATATGTCTAAAGTAACGAGCGAAGACTGACGGATTGCCTCTGGTGGAGGCATCTGCGCGGAGACGATGCCAGGCCTGCAATCTTCGGCTTTGTGCGTCAGACTCGTCTCTGTTTCAGGCTTACTTGGAGGAACCCTAAACCCTAAACCCTGAAACCCTAAACCCTGAGACCCTAAACCCTGAAACCCTGAAACACGAAACCCTGAAATCCAGAATCGGACGTTGAGGGCTTCTGTGCCAGAGCCGCTCCTAATCCTCTCCTACCACAGCTTCACGTGCACAGGGTGGTGAGGACAGGAGGCTTATAAAAGAGCTTCAGGGGCTTTCAGGCCGGCCGTTGCATCTGGAACACCCGCCATGTGACAATCTGCCAGGCCACATGAACATGACTAGAAAAAGTAGTGTACCACAACATACCCCCAACTAAAACATGCCAAACCCTCTTCTCATTCTTAAGGCCCCCGATTCTTCTGTGGTGCTACATGACCTGCTCTAATCTACGCAACTGACGAGACCAGGAGAATCAACACTTGGTGAAGGCAGTAGCACTGAAGGTTTTGGGGAGTTAAAGTAGTTAGGGTTAAGGGTTTATAGAAATTGTTAAGGGTTTGGGTGCCAATAACGTTTTGACCGGAATTTTTTTTTACCGTGTTTTGAGCAATTTGTTAATTCGAAACATGGGCTGGTGGGCTGGGGCTGGGCTGGGCTGGGGCTGGGCTGGGCTGGGCTGGGCTGGGCTGGGCTGGGCTGGGCTGGGCTGGGCTGGGGGCTGGGCCAGCAATGTGGACGACGGGGTGTGAGCAATTGGTTTAGGGATCTGCTGGTCCTCGGCAACCGGCAGAAAAGGGTCCATAAAGTGCAAATCATGCATAACCACCTCATCAGGCTCGCTACTTGCACGATCTTCCAGCTCCTTTCAACATGCCAAAAACCACAGAAAAATACAACCCTCAGGTCCTTCACAATAATTTAAATATCTCGTAATTAGGGCTCTGCGCAGCATGCTCTCCTGGTCATCTGGGTCCAGAGCTGATGCCGGGCGCTTGCGACCTTGACCATGTCTTCGGCCACGACCACGGACCCGACCCCAGGCTCCACTTCGACCAGTGCCCCGCGGCCTACCCCGGCCCCGGCGCTTGCCGCCGCCCGGCGGCCTGCCAAGCGGCCGGCCGCTGGAAGGCTTCAGTTGCGAATGTTCAAGTAGAGACTGTGTTCCGTGCATGAGCACAGAAAAAAGTCCTTGTGGGTTTCTTCAAAATGTCCAGCTTTCACAAACAAGACTTTGTACTCTTTCAGGCGGTTGTGCAGCAGTTTAGGATGAAAAGAGCCATCAGCGTCGTATACTGACAGGTCCTGGACTGACAGGTCCTGGAGGCCTTGTCGCACCTTCGCTTCGACAGCAGATGTAATCACCCAGGGGCTGGGGGGGGGTCAGGACATGTCGGGCCTGTCAAAGCACAGCTCAAGCGGATAAGCAACCATCTCAGGCACTCCTTCTCATCGCCGCATGCAGCGTGCTCTTTGTTTCTTGGGCGAGCTCCCTCAGCCGATGCACTCTCGCAAGCGCTATCTGGCACAGGGAAGCTGTCTCGCACTGCTGCTGGGCCTTGTCAGCCAACTCTGCTCACTCTAGTCTGTCTCATAGCTTTATTGCCGTTGCTGCTGGCAACCTCAACCAGCAAACTGGAACTGCGAAAGGACAGTCGAGGTCCACGGCTATGCTATGGCGTCGAGATGTTCTACAGCATCTGCAAAGGAATAAGCCGCTCCAAACTAGCCCAGCAATGCCAGGCGAGTGCGTTTTCGGCACACGTCCTTGCCCGGAGTTGACTTCTTTGCGTTATGGCAATGTTATTAGCTGGGTGTGTGTAGCAATAGTCCAGCAATGCAAAGGTGCCCGGAATGCATCTCGGTGAGGCAACGCGACCAGCGCACAAGGCCGGGGGAGTACAGAGCCGGCCAGCCCATGCCAGACCTACATCTTTTGACCTGCGACGAGTTTCTGCTGGTACATCATGGAGAAACGGTACATAATGATGCTTAAAGCTTAGCTAGCCACATGTACTAACCGAAATGTTCAACAGCGATGACGACTGGAACCGTTTGGGCATTCCTCCGATCATGCAGAACTCCAAGCAGGCAGGAGTTAAAGCACGCTGCAGCCTGCGTGGTTTGCAGCAGCTGCGCTGGAGATCCCGGGAGCTGTCTTGAGCTACTCAGGTTTGCGGACGTCCTGGATGATGTGCGGGAGGCGTGAATGCTCCCGGAAGAAGACCCACAGGAGCCAGCGGTCGTTCCCATCTCCGTGGACCTTGAAGGCCGTGCCACGCGTGTGCAGGCAGCTCCTGTTATTGATGATGGGCTGGGACTGGGCTCGGCTTGGGCTGGGAGGGCTGGGCTTGAAACGGAAATTGGTTTATCCGAAAATGGCAAGTCCGGATGGCCAACAGGAACAAGCAATTTCTATTTATCACTTTCTTGAGAGTTTAGGGTTTAGGGTTTAGAGTTTAGGGCTGAGGGTTTAGAGTTTATTCAGAGTTTAGGGTTTAGGGTTTAGAGCTTAGGGTTTAGGGTTTGGAGTCAAGATCCAGTTGCATGTGTCACACTTCGAACACCCAACCTGCAAGCATCCAACAGCCGCATTATGCTGGTGGCATCTCCCAATGCCTAGGCTCCGTTACCCCCCCAACTACAGGAACGCTCACTGTCAGCCCAGAACCTCTGTTCCTGAACCCTGCACACTCGAGCTGAACCGAATGGCTGAAAACCATCATCCTCTAGCCAAAGCCCGAAACCCAATGCCACCTAAGCCCTGGACCCCAAACCAGAAAGCCCTCAACTCCGAGGCTTTAAGTTAAAGCTCCGAAATCCGATCAGCCTCCATACAGCCCTCAACCCCAATCGCAAGGCTCTGTGGGACCTCAAAGCACCGGTGAAGCTGAAGCCTGAAGTGGAAGAAAGGCTTCTTGAGTTTTGGCTTTGCAAGGTCGGATGTGGCTGAGGGTTGCGGTTTGTTTTTTGAACTCCTTTTTGGGCCTGCCCGGTCCTCCAAGCCAATCCAAGGCACAAGGTTTTAGGGTTCACGGTTTAGGGCTCACTAGTCTAGAACCGTTGTATGCGGGCGTGCAATTCGTCGAGTGGTTTGGGCTGTTCGTCATGTCAACTTAATGACAATGACAATAACCTTGATCGTAGTAGTAGCGAGCTGCCAGACCAAAATAGTAGTGCTCACTGCCTTCCTGGTTGTACAGCCTTCACGTACTAATTGGTGCGCATATAGAGACAACATAGCAGCCCAGAAAGTGACACTAGGCTGGTATAATACAGTTTCCATGACAACTCTTAGTGAATTTCAGAAGTGGTTCTGCAAGTCAGGTTTCTGCTTTTGGGGGAGCTTGTGCAAAAGGTCCTCGAGAGCTTGAATAAGGTTCCGGGAAACTGAGATACTACTAGTAGTTAATCAGACCTCTATAATATTAACCCAAAAGGCCCGCACGGATGCTGATGTAGAGCT